AAATATAATTTTAAAAAATACTTTACTTATTTTTATTTTATGTGTATGGTTGTATTGCCTGCATGTAGGTAAGTGCACCCATGTCGTGCAATGCCCGCGGAGGGTAGAAGAGGCTGTAGGATCCCCTGGAACTGGAGTTACGGACAGTTGTTAGCTGCCGTGTGGGTGCTGGAATTCAAACCCAGGTCTTCTGCAAGAACAGTCAGTGTTCTTAACTACTGAGCCATCTCTCCAGCCCCCTTAAATGTAATTTCTAGAACTCTATTCATTAGTATTTGTAAATTACCAATTTAATCATTTTTCTTTATTTTTTGGATGTTTTTACATTTTCATTAAAGCAAGTTGCCCATTTGTGATTTTCTTTTTTAAAAAAAATTTTTATATTTATTAGTTTTATGTGTATGCATGTATTGCCTGCATGTAGGCAAGTGCACCCTCTGCAATGCCCGCAGAGGACAGAAGAGGCCATCGGACCCCCTGGGACTGGGGTTACGGATAGTTGTAAGCTGCCTGCCATATGGGTGCTGGAATACAAACCAGGGTCTTCTGCAAGAATAGCCAGTGTTCTTAACTGCTGAGCCATCTCTCCAGCCCCATGTTTAACAGTCTTTAATTCACATATAAAAGTTCAGTACATGCCATTTATAAGACATGGGGTTTGTTCTTTTAAAAACAAAGCAACGGGGGAAATGCAACAAAATGATCTTTCTACTTTTGAAGCTTTCAAAGAAAGGATCATATAGATAGGGCCAAAGATCCTAATTTAACCAAACTCACTTTCTCTCACTGCCAGTAGTTTGCTCCATAATCTTAATACATGTTCCTGAATTAAGATGTACAGTTCAGCTTTGCTTGTGTGACCATTAAAAAATACTTAGCACCAGCTTGCTTCTTGTAATATTTTTAAAAATTTTTTATTGAATTTTTGTGTATTTCATACAAAACATCTTAACCGTCTTCATACCCCCTTCCCCACTGGCACCCATCCATAGCCCCACCCCTACTGGAATTCCTACATTCTGTCATTTGAGTTAAGGCCTATCATGTCAATTTAGTGTCTCCAGACATCCCTCAGAGCAAGTTCATCCACCGGGATTTAGTCAGCCTATCTAGAGTCTCTCCCTTTAAGAAGATCAGCTCTTCCTTACCCAGCAGTAATCAGCTGCCAATAATTCTTCGACTAAGATTGAGGCCTGCTGTCCATTTCCACAGTTCTGTGCTGGCTTTTTGTCTGAGTTTGTGTGGGTCTTGTGCATGCTGACACCGTTCCTCTGAGAAGGGTCCCAGGAGCTTGTAGGACCATATTTCCTTATGGTCTTACACTTCCTCCCTGGCTCTTACAACCTTTCCACTCCCTCTTCCACAATGGTCCCTGAGCCCTGGGTGGGTGGATTTTAATGTAGGAGTCCTGTCCTAGGACCCACACTGTAGATTCTTATTGTCTACAGTTTGACCATTTGTGACCTTTTGTGTTCCTGGCCCTTTGTTGCATGAGGGAGCTTCATTGATGAGAATTGAAAGATGACTTAGTGTTCTCTTCATCCCTTGTTCTATGTTCTGTGAGTCTTAAGTGTAGAGGCTGCATCCTAGGTGTGCCATTTGGGCTTGGGCAAGTCACAGACAATCTCTGTGTGTGACCAGTTGTGGAACTCTATAATAATCTCTCTCTGTTGAGAAAGAAGTTTCTTTGATGGATGGCGACTTGGATACGTGTCTGTAAATTTAAGGATCCATATTTTGTACATAGTAAAAAAAATTACATTTGTATAGGGATATGACAACCTTGGGGTTTTTTCCAAGATGTATGACCTCTCCAGCTATGTGTATTTGGTTGTTTACAGTACCAGACATGAGTTTCCTCCCATTAAGTGGGCTTTAAGTCCAATTAGGTAGCTCTTGATTACCCCCAAGATAAAAGTACCATTACTACACCAATATTTGCTGTGCTGGGCTTCCTATAATATTTAAAAAATATTTTTATTTTATTTATTTATTTTGAGTGTATTTCCTGCATGTGCGTGAGTGCACCTGTGTTGTGCAATGCCGGTATTTATTTATTTATTTTTGGTCTTTTTGAGACAGGGTCTCCCTGTAGCTCCAGCTGGCCTGGAACTCACTATGTAGACGAGGCTGGCCTTGAACTCACAGAGATCCGCCTGCCTCTGTCTCCCAAGTACTGGGACTAAAGGCATGTGTCACCACGCCCAGCCTTATTTGTTATTTTTATTTATTTTTTTGTATGTATGAGCATAGTCTGTGCATATGCAAAGGCACCCCCAGAGGACAGAAGAGGGCATTGGATCCCCTGGAACTGAAGTTACAGATGGTTGTTAGCTGCCCAGTGGGTTCTGGGAACTGAACCTTGATCCTCTGCCAGGACAGCCAGTGCTCTTAACCTGCTTAACCCTCTCTCTAGCTCACCTTATCCTAATTTTAGGGATGCGGAGGATATAAGGCAGAGCTGAATCCCTTCCAGGCTGGTCTTTTAGTATACTACTTTTTTATTTCACTGTGCACAAATCCAACTTGGAACTAGGCCTCCATCTCCTTCAATGGGCCTTGGGCTCAGGTTCCTTGTCCTTCTGTCTTTGAGAGCTAGTTGTCCCCATCTCCCAGTTGTCTCCTTCAGAGTCTGTGACTGTGCCCAGACCATGAAACTCCAGAACTGGGAAACCTCAAAGGTTGACGCTTCTGTAGCTGTCGTGTACTAGTTCCATGCTCTCAGGCCAGATGAGGGTCCCCAATGCCTCCTGTACATAAAGCTGAGGAGTCTTCACTAAGCAGATTGCCTGTGCTGGGACATAGAGGTGTTTTAATTTTTCATTTAAATTCTTCCTTGTTAAGTTTCGTTATGCTCTCAGATTTTTGTTGTTCCCAAACCAGGTCCTTTTTCCCTTTAGGACCTGTGCAGCCAGTGACAAAATCAGATCTAATTTGGGGTTTGGAGGGGGAACCTTTTATTTATGGCCAAAAGTAGAAGTGGGAAATAAACTCAAAATCAACTTCCAAGCCTTGGGGGTCAAGAGATTTATAGGTATAGGATAAAAGAACCCAGAGGGGAGGTAGAGGCTGGAAAGGGGAGGAATATATGTGATTTTTTGGGGGGAGTGGGTACAGATTTTCCTGCAAATCAGGCAGGTGCAACCTCTTCATTCCTTTTCTAGTTCCTTCCAGTTGTTGCCATGGCAGCTGGCAGCTGGCCTGGCACTGGGGTCATTTACTAGGCAATGGGATTACGACGGCGGATGTTTGAGGTTGTCTGTGGTCATCCTGGCAGCAATCTCCTTCAGCTAGCTGACCAGAAGAAGGACCTGTAGCCTGCAGGAATCCTGTCCTCCCAGATAAACAAGCTCAGGCCGGCTAGAAATTGAACTAATCTACCTAGGCTCACTCAAGGTAACAGAGTACATACACTACCCACAGGTCCCCTCTCTGAGTTGTCTGTCACTAGCTCTGTTCTTCTGTTGCTTTTCTGTTTTTCTTTCTTGCCCACAAGTGTGACCATAGTGCTGCTGGACTATTTGCAGCTTTCTTTTCTTCTCATAATACTGTGATATCTTTAAGTCCAAGAACTTCTGAGATTGGCATTGTTAAAAAGCTGCCATTAGGGGCTGGAGAGATGGCTCAGTGGTTAAGAACACTGGTTGTTCTTGCAGAAGATCCTGGTTCGAATCCCAGCACCTGCGTGGCAGCTAACAGCTGTCCATAACTCCAGTGCCAGGGGATCTGATAGCCTCTTCTGACCACTTTTTCTGACCTCTGCTGGCATTGCATGACAAAGGTGCACTTACCTACATGCAGGCAATACACACATACACATAAAATTTTAAAAAAAATTAAAAAAATTGCCATTAGGTTGCAGTTGGGTGTAATAGCACATGCCTTGAAATCCCATGCAATTGAGAGATGTCTTTGTATCCTCATCTTCATTGAATGTGAATGACCTCTTTAATAACTGTCAACCTAATGGGTCAATAACTTGTTTTAGTGTATTTTTCTAAATGGGTCACTTTGTTTGTGACAGGGTCTGGCTTTGTAGCCCAGGCTGGTCTCAAACTGGAGAGTCTCCTACCTCTGCCTCCTAAATGCTGGGGTTATAGGCATGTTTGCCACCATGTCCCTGCTTCTGATGAGTCTTAATCACTTGCTCACTCACCTGTCTGTGTCAAAGTGTGTTGATAACCTTAGTTTTCCTGAGGAACTTCCTGGTGGTTAGTAAGACAAGGCAGTTTCCCTTGCTGTAGGCAGAACTTGGCTATGCGCCTGGTGTCCATGGCTGCTGGGAGCATCTACTTTCCTCATGTCGTGGCATAGACCACCCTGAATAGCCCCAGCTATGTGTAGGCCAGGTTGGGTTTGCCTGAGGGTTCCTAGCAGGAGTTGGGATTTACTTTCTGCCAGACCTAGGTGTGAGTTCTAACTAGAACTAGCTCAGCCCAATTTACCTCACTTTAGAAGGTTTTTAGAAGAGAAGATGATGGGGCCTGTAGAAAGGAATAGGTACAATTTATGTTACATGCCTGAAGGTTTATTGGAAGTATAGGAGATAACATGAGTTTCAGTCAGACTTGAGTATGAATCAAGACCATCCTTTCATCAGCTATGGACAGTTATTTTCCTTCAAAATTGTATTTTCTTGTATTTAAAATATGTTAACTCAAATGAGGTAGCAATCCTTCTGTAAGATCTCAGTGCAGGAACAGTATACGTATACATGAGTGAGGATGGTAAAATAGGCTTAGGAGTTTGTAGTGAGAAGAGACTGGGGTTGGCAGAGGCTGGGCCTCAGGCAGCTTTGACACTATTTGGCCTCTTCCCTTCTCATTTAGGGGGCCATTGGCACATAAGACCCTGTTGCCTAATCACTGTACCAAGAAGTGAGTGCCCAGTCTTAGTAGGGGCAGGGAGTAAGTACATGGAGCCGAGTCTATTCCAGGGTTGATTCCAGCTTCCTCAAAAGCCTTGGTAATTCTAAGGGGCCTTCTCTACTCCTTTTCCAGCCATGCTTCCTCAAGGACTGGGAGATGCATGTCCACTTCAAAGTCCACGGCACAGGGAAGAAGAATCTTCATGGAGATGGCATTGCCTTGTGGTACACCCGAGACCGCCTTGTGCCAGGTGGGAAGGTGCTCGCTCAGGTGGGCCCTGTTGGAACCCAAAGAGTGGGTTAGGCATGAGTATGACTGCTATCCCACCAGGACTCTGATGATAGGGCAAGTGGCCTGCCTGTGGTCACTCTTCACTGTTTGGAGACAGCTGCTCCTACATTAAATCCTGCACTTGGAAAAGCACTTGGTTGAGGGGGGTGGCACCTCTAGTCCTGCAGTTCAGTGCTGCTTTGCCCCTTGTGGCATGGTTTTGACCATTCTGCCATTTTAATTATTTATGCATGTATCTATTAGTTTTAGAATTTTAGAGAATTTCATTATGTATCCCAGTCTGGCTTTAAACTCATTATTAGCCCAGGCTGCCTCCAGCTTCCAAGTATTGGGACTATAGGCAGAACACCACCACACCTGGCTGTTCTGCCATTTAAATTTTACTTTGTGTGTGTGTGTGTGTGTGTTTGTGTGTGTGTGCATGTGCGTGTGTGCGTGCATGCATGCATGCATGTCACAGCACTCATGGAGATCAGAGAACAACTTTATGGAGTAGGTTCTCTCCTTCCAACTTTATGTATTTTCTAAGGATCAAATTCAAATCATCAGGCTTGCATGACAAGTGCCTTTACTCACTGAGCCATCCATTAGCCCATTCTGCCATTAAAAACAAATGATGGGTCTGACTGGATGGCATGCCTTTAATCCTAGTACTCAGGAGACAAAGGCAGGAGGATCTTTGTGAGATCGAGGCCAACCTGATAGCCATAGCAAGTTGCAGGCCAGCTGGGGCTACAGGGAGATCCTGTCTCAAAAAACAAAATTTTATTTTACTTATTATTTTATTTTACATGTATGAGTGTTTTGCCTGCATGTAAATAAGTGTACCACAAGCAGAGGTCAGAAGAAGATGTTAAATCCCCTTGAACTGGATGATTGTTAGCTGCCATGTGGGTGCTGGGAACTGAACCTGGGTCTTCTGTAAAAGCAGCCCACTGCCCTTAACAGCTGAGCCATCTCTCCAGCACTGTATTTTTAAAGGTGGTTTTTTTTTTTTTTTTTTTTTTTTTTTTTTAAAGACTGAGAGAAACTGTCTTACAGACTGAATATAGCCAACAAAGCCTAAAATGCTTCCTCTGTGGCCCTTGCAGAAACTTTGCTGCTTATAGCTTAAGCGGTTCTTACTGTGACTACACCTCTTTTTTTCTAGATTGGACACCCCTTTTACCCTAACACTTGCCTTGAAGCACATGAACTGGGAGCTGTCCCCTTGTAGTTAAGGCCTCAACCTTTTTTTGTTGTTTTTGTTTGAGATAGGGTCTTGTTATATAGCTTTGCCTGACCTGGTAGTTGCTATGCAGCCTGAGCTGGCCTTGAACTCATGGCAGTCCTCCTGCCTTAGTCCCTCAAGTGCTGTTGGGATTACAGGCATGTGTTACATACCTACCTACCTTAGGCCTCAGACTTTGCATCTCTCTCCCTGCCCTAACCTTGCTTTGTTCTTCAGGGTTCCTTCCTTCCTGGGTGAACGACCAGTGGTTGGGTTCTCTTGCTTCTACCCCGGCTGCCCTGGAGCTACCCATAGAACATCTCCAGTTTATTCTTCTTGTGAGAGCATCTCTTTATAATTCCAGGGCCTGTGTTTGGAAGCAAAGACAACTTCCATGGCTTAGCCGTCTTCCTGGACACATATCCCAATGATGAAACCACTGAGGTACAGCCCTGCTCTTTTCTGTGGAGCAAGAGAGCAAGGATTGGGCAGCTGGCTTGAGGTTGGAGACTGGGACTTTGCTCTGGTCCTGACACAGAGGCAGCCTCCAGGGGTTGGGGGTTGAGTGCCCACAGGTGGGGCTGGTCATGGAGTAACCAGTATCTTGGTTCCAGCGTGTGTTCCCATACATCTCGGTGATGGTGAACAATGGCTCCCTGTCCTACGACCATAGCAAGGATGGGCGCTGGACTGAACTGGCAGGCTGTACAGCTGACTTCCGAAACCGGGATCACAATACCTTCCTGGCTATACGCTATTCCCGGGGCCGCCTCACGGTGAGCGGGCATGAGGGGGAGGCCAGCTGGGTCTGTGCTGGTTCTGCAGAGGTTCCAGGAAGTGGCTGACTTGGGCTATGCTTAACCTACTGGTTGACTGCAGGTGATGACTGACTTGGAGGACAAGGATGAGTGGAAGAATTGCATTGATATCACGGGAGTGCGCCTGCCCACCGGCTACTACTTTGGAGCCTCTGCTGGCACTGGTGACCTATCTGGTGAGTGTGCTGAGATCTGCCCTCTACCTGACTTCCCTGGTTTGTTGACAGCTCCTGGCATAATTAATTGCCTTCCTTCCTCTGCTTTTCCTACTACTGACCTCTTCCTCTTCTTACCACTATCTGTTACTGTCAGTATTTCCAAGACTCAGGCCTTGAGAAAACTTTAGGCAACAGGAGACTTTAAATACTGTAGTCTTACGGATTTCTATTTCAAGACCTATAGAATCAGCAGGCTACCCAGTGTTCTACTACACACTGCTCATCTGAACCTTAACATGCCCACAAACCAAAACCACACCTTGTCCATCAAGATATAAATGGCACCTGTTTTCTAGTTGCCCTAGAGTCATCCTGGACTCCTCACTCACATACCACCACTAATACCTTGGCAAATCCTACTGGTACTTGTCCCTCTTATTAACTGGTATATTCAAGCCAACATCATCTCTCACTGAAGCCTTTCACAGAGGCCCCCAGACAGCCTGTCCCTAGCCCATGTAAAGTTGCCCCTCTGCTCAGAACTACAATGGCTATCATCTCACTGAGCATCAAGGCTGCCATATCAGTGTGATCTGCCAGCCTCCCCCACTGCCCCTATACCTTATTAGCTCTGACTCGGAGCTCACTTCTCTGTTCACAGTGGCCTCAGCAGGTCTGGCTATTCTGCTTGCTGTCTATTCATCATCTCCTTAGAGTCTTGCTCAAATATTACTTTTTCAGTGGGGATTTCTTTGATCCCCATTTAAAATTGTACTCCCTCCTCTAGTCCTGAGCAGTTCCCATCTATATTTTCTTCATAGCATGCCTTTTGTACCAGCCGTATCATTTACTGTATTATCTGTGTGTGCCTCCTGCCCATTATAAGCTCCATTAAGCTAGTAATCTGTTTCATATGGCCCAAGGTCAATGATCATTAAGCACTGGGGTACCTCTAGCTTCTGTGGGCCTCACCACCAAGGTTACCAGGCCTTGGTGGCCTTTAATGGTGGCCCTTGACTGTGACTCAGTCTTTCTACTAGGAATGCTGGATGTACACCAGCTCTGGCTGACCAAACCTAGGCTATGATGTGGATGGCCTAACAAAGAGCTTATTTATCCCCAGAATAAACTTTTTCAGGGTCTCTCACGTCCCTCTAGCCAGATGCCTCCCCTCTTCAGGGAAGTGCACAAGTCCTCTTAGTCTAAGAATGCCTCTTGCTTTGGGATTTCACTTTAAAGTTCTTGATAAGAAAGTTTCAGTTGTCTACCTTAAAGAGAAGAGAATGGTCTAATAAACTCCCTGTTCCCACCATCCAGTTTAGTGACTACTAGCCCAGGATCAGTCTTGTTTCAGTAATGGAACTACCATACCCTTTCTTCCTTCTTGTTCCCTGGCTTGCCTGGAATTTCATTGGACAGTATTTCTACATATTTCTGCAGAGGACTGTTTGTTTCGTTCTGTTTTGTGTTGTTGTTATTGTTTTGAGATATCCCCTCTGTAGCCCACACTGGCCTTGAATGCATGGTGATCCTCCTGCCGCTTTAGCTTCCTGAGTACTGAGATTTCACAGGATAAGACACTGTGTCCTAGCCGGGCGTGGTGGTACACACCTTTAGTCCCAGCACTCAGGAAGCGGAGGCAGGTGGATCTCTGTGAGTTCAAGGCCAGCTGGGGCTACAGGAAGACCCTGTCTCAAAAAGACCCCCCCCCCCCAAAAAAAAGACACCATGTCCTGCTTACAGAGGGTTCTTAATAGGAACAGCTGTAGGCCTGTAGCAGGCATTTGTTCTCCAATGCTGTTTAGAATGGCCCACTGAAGAGTGGCTGAAAGGACCCTAGAAGAGCTAGTGTCCAGATGTTATTCAGCAGGTTATCATTGCCAGGCACTGTGCCAGTATCCTATAGGCAGTCATGAGACATTTTCTTCTTAGGTATCTTAGGTAGGTTAATGGTCCTTTTCCCTTTTCATATAACTAAAAAGGAATTCCCTCCCAAAGGGAATGTGAGAGCTGAAGGATTTCTCTAAGATGACAACAGGAATTGGCAGAATCCAGATGGCACCTAGAATATGACTCCAAAGCTGGTTCTTCAGGCCCACCGCTTGGCTCCAGGGGCTGTGTGTACTCGGTTGTCAGATACCGCTTGACCCTGACTGACTTAGCTGCCAGCTCTTTGTTCTGAAGCTTCTTCCTTCTCTTGGCCCCAGAGATTCCACCTCTTCAGACAAAGTCTTTCTTCAGATAAATTGGTTTACTGAGTTTATATCTGGAGTCTAGCTGACCAGAAGCCACTTAATGGCAGAGCCTCATATGCCTCATCTCTAAAATGAGTGGTCCATTAATATCAAATGGACCATCCATGGTCCATGGTGGTTGGACCATGCCTTTCCCAGGTCTTAGACATAATTTCTGACTGTCTGAGTCAGGCCCTTAGCTGGCAGTCCCCTTATTTATCTGCACCCTACATGTGGGTCTCCAGCAGAACCATCTGACTGCTTCCTATTCTTGGAAGTATCAGGCTTCTTAGGCAACCCTAGAATGATCACGCTGGTCCTTTTCTGGTTTCTGTTTTTAGTACATATCCTCTACCAAGTAGTTGTCTCCCACGTGGCAGGTACCCTCTCAGGTACTGCATATGCGTTCATGCATTGACCATGGTGATGACTCAAAATGGTGATTACTGCTTCCATTTTGCAAGCAAGGAAACTGAGTCCAGAACTGAGGAACAGCCTTGGGTTTAGATCAAGATTATTTTGAACAGTAAAGCCCATGCTTTTTCTCTCCATTCTGTCTTCTGGTTTCTTCCTACCCCCACTCCTGTGCTGGGAGTTGAACCCAGAGCTTTATACGTGCTAAGTACATGCTTACCACTGAGCTACACCCCTCTGCAGTCACTCCAACCCCTGGCATACTGCCTGCCTAAGAATTGGAGGCTGCTGGGAAGAAATCCGTGCTCTCCTCAGGGGACTTTGTCCTTCTCTGTGACTGAGGCAGCAGCTTTTCTTTGGGGAGGGCCATGGGCCACACTTTGAGGCTGGCTCCAGGCCATTATAGGCTCACTCTTGGCCCTGTAGACAATCATGACATCATCTCCATCAAGCTGTTCCAGCTCATGGTAGAACACACACCTGAGGAGGAAAACATTGACTGGACCAAGATTGAACCCGGAGTCAACTTCCTCAAGTCACCCAAAGGTATGTGAGCTCCCTCCTTCAGGTGAGCTCGGTGCTCCCTTCCTTCCGGTCCAGTTGTGGCTGTGGTCTGGGCTCTTAGATTACCTATGTCATTTGCGAATAGCATTGGCCAGCCCCTGCCTGAGTGTCTAGAGTTCAGAAACTTGGGTTAGGTCAGCTCTGTGAGTTCTTGAATAAAAGAATGAAATGCTGTCTTCCTGCATGAATTCTGCTGAGGCAGCAATGTTTAGTCAGTAGGCATGTGAACACCTAGTATTTACTTCTTCCTGTGCTGGCGTATGATCAGTAAAGCCAAGAGAGCCAGTTTGTTGCTCATGGGTTGCGTGCCCAGCATTCTGTGTCAGATTCCTTCAGTGAGTTCCTTGGAGACTGATCCCTTAGGTTTCCTTAACTAGAAAGAGGGAGAGGCAAGTTTGAGAAACTGGTTTTTGTAAAACCCAATCCTCGGGTTTTCTATGGCACTAATTAGCTATTACTCTACCTCATAGTGAGTGTTCTGGTTGGAAGAATGAGGTGCCTGTTCCTCCTTCTGTCCCCAAAATCATAGACTGGCAACTATGGGTCAAGTGAAAATGCAGACCTGAGAGGGGGCTCTGCCTGCCCAGTCCCCAAGTCCTATATCTTCACCTTTTTTGAATTCCAGAATCCACTGTTAAAAATCGAGCCCTGAGGGGGGGCTCTCCCCCCCCCTCCCCCAACTCCTTTTTTTTCCCCTTTTTTAAATTCCAAAAACCCCTTTTTTTTTTTAAATCACATCTAATTTTTTTTTTTTTTTTTTTTTTTTTTGTGAGGGTCTCCTGTAGCCCCAAGTAGCCTAGAACCCAATATGTAGACCAGGATGGCCTCAATCTCACACAGATCCACCTGCGTCTGCCTCCCCAGTGCTGGGATTAAGGCATGCACCACCATTCCTGGCTACTTTATTTTATTTATATGAGTGTATTGCCTGCATGTGTGTAAGTATACCTGTGTCATGCAATGCCTGAGGTCAGAAGAGGGTGTTGGATTCCCTGGAGCTTGTTACAGATGGTTGTTAGCCACCTTGTGGGTGCTGGGAACTGAGCCTGGGTCCTCTGCAAGAACAGCCAGTGCTCGTCACCACTGAGCCACCTCTCCAGGCCTATACTCTCCCCACCCCCCACCAACCCCCTGTCCCTTTTAAAGTATCTCATGTAACCAGGCTGGCTTTGAACTCTCTGTGTAACGGGTGACCTTAAACTTCCGATCTGCCTGCCTCTACTTCCTGAGTGCTAGGATAATAAATGAGTACCACCACACCTTGTGTTTGACACCTTTTTTTTTAAAGATTCCAGTTGGTTTTAAGTGCTTTAGAGCTAAACAAGTTCTGCTATAAACCAGGTGGTAAGCAGACAGAGATTTGTTCATTCTCAGATTTGTTGACTCACTTGTTGGCAGATGTTTCCAAAGCTTCTGCTCCATGTCTAGCCACAAGTTGGGGGCTGGAGGTAGGAGAGTCAGGCAGCTTCTGCCCCTGTGGCTTAGTGTTGGGACTGAGGCAAGAACAGGCCAGAGGGGCCTGTGGCTGAGCAGCTTGTTGGGGAAACACCAACAAACTGGGGCTATCTGGTTAAGCCAGTGATCACTGCTGTCACTGCAGGAACAGAGAGGCCAGGCAGGCGCCAGAGGGTGAGAAGACCTGCCTGGGGTCAGGCTGTGCAGGAAGGAATTCAGGAGGTTGGTTTGTGGCCAGCGTTCTGTCAAGAGGGCAGCATGGACACAGCTAAGAGGCAAGACTGGCATCTGAGGTTTGGTGAGAAGAGGCCTGTGGAGGGCCATAGTTGAGAGTGACCCTGTGGCAAAACAAAGCTCAGTCTAGCTCCCAGCTCCTTCACTCATGGCCTGGTAGACTAGAAAAGGTCAGTTCCTTTTCTCATCCTTGGAAAGGACTCACAAGGTCATCACATCTCCAAGGATATGTCAGACTCTATGATAATAGTTCATATGATACCAACAGGGTTTGTTGACATAATTGTTGAGCAGAACAGTAGTGTGGGAGGTGTAGGAGAAGAAGGGGTATATGGAGGGGGAAGGAGGCTTGGGGCCTAGAAGACTGCTCCTCAGGCCATTGAGGTCCTCCAGCTGTGGAGAACAGTAGTCTTGGGCTGGGCAGTGTCTGGATGGTAAGTCCTCAAACCATAGCACATGAAAAGTTGTAACAGCTGGTTCCTGAGCTTCAGGCTAACAGAGGAAGAACAGCGATCTCTAGTTTGAAGAATGCCTTATAGTATCCAGGTCTCAGTCCCTCTTTCTACTCCTGTGTGTTGCCCCTGTGAACTTCAGTCCGAACTCTACTGAGGTAGATTTTGTGTGACTGCTGCTTCTTGCCAGTTCACAGATAAAGGACACAGCCCTGGACCATCACTGCTCTTATGTGAGCAGGATGGATGTCGCAGCTCCTGAAGGCAAGTGGCTCTGGTACAGAGAGCACTGCTATATGTGCTGGGAGGTCCTGTTAGTTCTGGCTTATGGAGCGAACCTGGGACAGGCCCTGCCTGCTTTGCACATTGACCTCTCTTTCTTCTTCTGCAGACAATGTGGACGACCCCACTGGGAACTTCCGAAGCGGGCCCTTGACAGGGTGGAGGGTGTTCCTGTTATTGCTGTGTGCACTTCTGGGAATCATTGTCTGTGCTGTGGTGGGTGCTGTGGTGTTTCAGAAGCGCCAAGAGCGGAACAAACGTTTCTACTGAGCAGCCAGCTTGGCTGGGAAGGGCCTGACCTTGAGTCAAGGCTCCTATGTGAACTTTTTTTCTACTGGGATTGTTAAAAAAAAAAAAAAATGAGACAGCCTTATTTCTTAACCGTTTCAAATAAATAATTAAAGTATTTTCATACATTTTACTTCTTGCCAGCTGTGGCAGCTGGCAGGACTCAGGGTGCGGGGTTGAGCATCCCCACAGCTGGAGGCTCTTGCCCTGCCCCATGATGTCTTCTTGGAAGCAAAGGAGTCTATACTTGGGGCCCAGGTGAGGCCCTGAAGGTGGCTGTCAAATATTGGAGGCCCCTAGACTACCTGGGGTGGTTCCTTAGGATCCCAAGCAGTGGCTTTGTTCTGAGGTGTGTGACAGCAGGCAGGGTTGGGGAGTCTGGCTTCCTTGTATCCCCTCAGCTTGTTCCCAAGGCAGCCTCAGCTGAGGCGGGAAGAGCAGTTCAGTGGGGCTCAGAGTGTGACCATGTACTATGTACTAAGTAAAGTAGCCAGTCTCATTCGTGTGACTATCCTAAGGGCTTTGCTTTTTCATTTCTGGTCATTTCTAACCCATTCTCTCTGGTCTGCAGTAGAGCCCTAGAGAGAATGGACTATCCTTAAACAAGTTTCCCAGGTATGGAAATGTGACTCTCAGGCCAGGCAAAACTTGCCCTTGTTACCCAGCAAGTCATGTTTTGGGGATGGGGCCTTAGAAGCCTGTTCTCCAGGCTTCTAAGTAAAAACCAGGTGGGGAGGGTGTGGGGTACTATGCACATGGTATGACCTCAGCCCAAGGCTCAAACTAGGCTTCACTGGGGGTGGGGAGGTATAATGTCAAAGACTTTAGGAGGCTCTGGGATGATCTGGGAGTGCCCAGAGGGTGGTTGGGGTCAGCACAAAGATGAAATGGAAGAAAACCAGCAGCTTCCATAGTCATTTATATCCAGGTCACAGCCTGCTGCCATCCCTTTTCCCACCATGGAGTATTGTGTCCCAGGCTAACAGTTTCCTACTGTCTCCCTTCACAGTAGTCTTGGGCTGGGCAGTGTCCTTCACAACACACAGGGAGTAGAAAGGTCCTTGGGGACCTTACTAAGTCAATCTCAAATGGATTCTTATTGCAGAAAATATAGGTAGTGGTAGAAGTCCATGGAGTGAGTGCAAAATTCCTGCTTGTCCACTGTCACTCAGCAGAGCTCCTCACTGGCATGCTGGTTGCTGTGCCTGTGTCCTTGTCATTTCTTCTGCATGATCAGAAACTTCTTACTGGTGAGGTGCCTTGGGGTGGCCCACAGTGGCTGTCACCTTCATCATCCTTCATCATTCTCCCTACTGAAGTATCTTAGGGAACAGCTTTCTCCTGGATTTGTTCAAGAAAATGCTTTCTATGTATGCACCATTCTTCTAAGCACACAGCATTCATCAATTTGTTTGACTCCATATGTGGGTACTGGGCATATGTCAAAGATGTTATGTCTATGTTGACATGCCCCTGGAGCTTCATGGCCACCGCAGTCCTCTCAGCACTACACTCACGTGTGCCCTTGGCCCTCCCTGAAGTCCTGCGCTATTTAGGCAAATTAGTGCCAAATGGTACTCAACCTTTGTATGTAAGTAAGCCACCTGGACAACTAAAAAGCCTGCTGCAGAGCTGGAGAAATGGCTCAGCGGTTAAGAACACTGACTGTTCTTGCAGAAGACCCGGGTTCGAATCCCAGCACCCACATGGCAGCTAACAACTGTCTGTAACTCCAGTCCCAGGGCATCTGACAGCCTCTTCTGTCCTCAAGCATTGCACGACATGAGCGCACTTACCTACATGCAGGCATAACACTCATACACACAAAAATAAATTTAAAAAAGAGCCTGCTGCAAAGCTGGGGAGATGTCTCCATCACTAAAGTGCTTGCTTTGCAAGTATGAGGACCTGAGATTGATCCCCAGAACCCACAGCAAAATGCTAGGTGTGGTGGCATGGGTTTGTAATTCCAGCACTGGGGATCCTGAGACTGATGGATCTCTGGAACCTAGTGGCCTAATTTGGTGACCTCCAGGCCAGTGAGAGACCCTGTGCCAAAAGCAGACGGCATTCCTGAAGATCACACCCACCCTAACTTGTCTTCTGATCTCCACACACACATACATGCATTACTGGGGTGGGGGCACTGCTGATTTCCCCACATCTGACTTAGTCTTGTGGAATGGAATGGGACAGGACAGTTTTTAAGAGCACTGTCTTCAGTGAGGAAGCAGGCTTGGGTATCAGCAGGGGTTTGACTTGAGAGCCAATATGAAAGTGATTGTGTAGGTCTGCTTAGCCTCCAGGTGGGTTCTATCCATTCTTTCATAGCCTTCCTTCTATCTGGAAAAAATTGTTTCCAAGTTCATCCCTAGAGTTGTCTCCATTTTCATACAGAGGGATGTGATCCATAATTAGGGTTTTTTGGTACATGTTCCTTAAAATTGAGTTATTTCATCATATGAAAGTTAAATATATACCCATGTGCCTGCTGTCCAGTGTGGAAAATAAGATTGCCAACACGTGTGGATCCCTTTGTCTCCTCCCTATAGAGGTGATAGCAGTTAAATCTTTTTTGTTAAAAATGTGTGGCATTATAAAACTTGTTTTGCTTTTTTTTTTGAGTAGTAGCTCTAGCTGCCTGGAGCTCTGTAGACCAGGCTGGCCTCGAACTCAGAGAGGATCCGCCTGCCTCTGCCTCCCGAGTGCTGGGATTAAAGGTGTGCATCACCACGCCTGGCCTTGTTTTGTTTTTTAAAGCTCTTAATTGGTATGTGGATGTGTTTCTCAGCTTTTCAAACAGCATTGCTGACAAGCCTTTGGATGAAAAGCAGTGTGCTGCTCCCAGAGGGTCATGCTGGCATGTGTGGATGTACTGTTTCTCCATTCTGCTGTTGGTGGCATGTAGGTGGCCTCCAGGTTTTGATGGTAGACGCACTGCTGCTGCTTCAGATGCTCCTGGCCATGTCATCACACACACACACACACACACACACACACACACACACACACACACACACACAAGAACTGTTTGTGTACAGTTTCAGTCTTCTAGACACAGTCACATTGCTCCCCAAAGTTGGTTGTATTCTCTCTTCCTTCTGCCCACTTGTTGGCACTTGATGTCAGTGTGGTCATTCTGTGACAGTGATGTATCTAAAAGCTGCTGTGTGTCTTTTTCTTCCGGTGGGTTGAGAATCTCTTCTGATCATGTGTGCTTCCCCTGCAAGTGCTTTACTTTGCCCATTTCTTTCTCGTGCTGATGTGAAGAAATTCTTATTGGTTCTGTGGTTGTATGCTACAGATACCTTCTAGCATGCCTGGCCTCATTGTTTGCTCATAATGCCATTTGATGTACAGTCTGCATTTAAATGGCATTTATTAATCTTTTCCAAAGATTGCTTTTCTAAAGGTTTTTAATTTTTGCTTTTCAAATTTGGCATTCTATCTACTAGAAGCATTTTTGAATGACTTGTATGGTGCCGTTCTCCCTGCTGTCTTCATCCAGTTGTCCCAGCGCATTTCTGGCTCACTCATCTTTCCCCACCACCTGAATCTGGCTCCCAAGCACCCCTCCTAACATTGTCCCTTCATCTCCTCTTTGGTGGTTGGAAGGTAGCAAGCGTGGCCATATAAACCCCATGGCTCAGGAGGTGCTGGAGGAAGCTGCTCCCAGGGAAGGTCTCAGATTGCCCACTCCTGCCTGGAGTGTGGCAGGACCCTAAGGTGCAGACCATGTGAGCATGAGAGCTGGAGTGAGCACATGCTGCTGGTAGAGCGGGGTCTCAATAACAAGACTGTGGTGCCGCCCCAGCCTGGGACTGCCTGCTGCTGGGGGTGGTTTGTGTGAAAAATAAATCCCTATTTGTTCAAACTAGTGTGAGTTGTGTTTTCTGTTACAGCTAAAAGCAGCCCAGCCTCTGTCCCCTGTATACATGTTGAGTTTTCTGACATACTTGTCCACCCTGCAGCTGATAGGCACACATTCTGAGCCTCATACTGTTTACTTGGGAATACAACAGAATACAAAAGGGGACTAGTGAGTGGTTTAGTAGGTAGATGCTTGCTGCGCAAGCCTGATGACCTGAATTTGGGCCACAGATCCCTCTCCCAAAAGTTGTCCTTTAACCTCCACATGGGGGCAGGAGGAGACCCAGTAATTATGTTAACAACCTGCAGGAAGGGGCGGGGGAGTTTGTTGAGCTTAAGATTCATACATTTTGAGTGCTAGAGAAATGGCTCAGTGGTTGATAAGAGCATACTGCTTTTCCGAAGGATCAGAGTTTGGTTCCCAGCACCCACATCAGGCAGCTCATGACCACCTAGGATCCACCAGCTCTAGAGGGGATCCTATGCACTCTTCTGATCTCCACAGGCACTGCACTTGTGTACATAACAGACACATATACATAATTTAAAAAAAATAGGGGGTGGAGCAATGGCTCAGCAGTTAAGAGCAATAGCTGCTCTTCCAGAGGACCTGGGTTCAGTTTCCAGCACCCACATGGTGGCTAACAGCTGACCATAACTAGTTCCAGAGGATCCAGTGCTCTTCTGGCTCTGCACAGACATACAGGGTCCCACAAGACGCACACCTGACTGCATTCTTTCTGGACTGCAAAATGGCTAGAATGGGTGGATGCAGGTCTGAAGGGGTGTTTGATCTTGCTGGATTATCAAGGATCTAAAAGGAACAACTTTGGCTAGGTATGGTGGTTTAGTCCCATAATTCCAGCACTTTGGGAAGCAAATTTGGAGGAGGACTCCAAGTTTAAGACCAGCCTGGGCTACATAGAGACCCTACATCAAAAACAAAACAACCCCGAAAGGTAATGACAAGGAAGTTGGGAAAGTATACCTGCGGATCTTCAGGATGTAACAGACCGTGAAAGGCTTTTTTGTTTTAGTGCTGGGCATCGAACCCAAGCACTTGGGCATGCTCAGCATGTGCTGCACAGAGTTCATCCCAGCCCCCAGACCTGAAGATGCTTGTGTTCAGTGTGAATGCCCACGGGTACCATGAAGCCTTAGGATCAGATGGACACAATGACAAACATGCTGGGCACTAGGGAGGTGGAGGCAGGAAGATCAAGAGTTCAAGGTCAGCCTCAGCTACAGAGCATGTCTGAAGCCAGCTTGAGACCCTGTCTCAAAAACCCCAAACCAGGGCTGGTGAGATGGCTCATTGGGTAAGGGTATCTGATGCTAAGCCTGGCAGCCTGAGTTTGATCCCTGGGGGCTATGTGGTAGAAGGAGAGAACTGACTCTTCCAAGTTGTCCTCTGGCACAAGTACATGTGCATGCGCGTGCGCACGGGCACACACATACCACACATATGGTTATTTAAAATAATTTTTAAACCCAAATCCAAACTACATAAAACAAAAAACCAAAATAATGAAAATTCTGAATGCCAATCAACTTTTTCTCAGCCACAACAGCTTGGTATGACTTTCCTGATGTGATATGACAAGTGTATCTGCAGTATACCTCCCATTTCAGAAAACAACTTTCCTA